GGAGGTAGAAGTCCAAGACCAGTGGTATATATCAGTGGGATTGGAAGCAGACTTAGTTTAAATTACCATTATTGTTTTTGTTGTAAGCTCTTTTGGGGCTCTTTCTGCTATGAAGATAAACATCAGACCTTCATGAACTGAGCCACGTAGGTATATGAGGAGCAGCCTTTATGACTGGCAACACCTCTTCCAATCAGTCAGATTACATTCGTGGCTCCTTTAATTCTTTCACAGCCAAAGTCACACTGAGTATTCCGATACGCAAATTGGCTCCATGACATAGGAATGTAGTGAAGTATTGGTGAATTCTTAAGCAATTCCTAAGTATTATATGTTTCCGTTAGCTGAGATTTTTCTCAGCAGTTCTATACCCAGTAAGTTTACATAAAGTATATTTGCTATAATGTTTTTCCTGTTACTTAAGCACTGTTTTTTTATTGTTGTTTAAAGAAGGCAGTGAAATCCTCTGTCTATACATGCATACATTTTACGGATGGGTACATTTTGTGAGTTGAGTATGATACATCAACATTGTTACTGTAGAGGAAAATGTTATATAAAAAATTCTTCTGACTCTATGTAACACAGTTTTTTTGTATAATAATCACTTGATGTCAGTTTTGTTGTCCATGAATGAACAAATCAAATTCACCTTCAATCGATGCAATAACAGATTGTTTCTCCAGTGGTTTTGGTTCCTTTTGGCTAAATTGCTTACGTTGCCAATTGCGTTACAGTTATACCCTAATCCAAAACATATATTTACTAAATCTTATTTATTTCTGTAGGATTTTGTCATAAATAAATGATGAGAGGTATATGGCCTAAACTTTAAGGAGCGCTGCTTTTCCCAAATGATTATTTTCCTCCCCTACTTCTAAAGTAATTTGTGCCATGGTGCTATTTTTGTTGTGTTTTGCTAACTGTAATGGAGGACAGTTTAACCTGTTCTTCCTGAGGTGGGCAAACAAAGTAAAGCCCTGGATATCTCATGAGTGTCAAACTTCATTTTAAGCTGTCTTTCCTATGTTAATAAAGCTGCATGTTAGTGTGACTTCCAAAGCATAAGGGAGAACTTCTGTTGTGTAGACTTGGCCATGAAAATCAGTTTCAGATTTGCCACCGATATTTCAGGAATGACAACTCTAGCCTGGTTTTTTTGTTTTTGTTGTTTTTTTAGTAATCACATTAACATATTTTATTTATTTAAAATGTAGGTCATGCTTTGTTATTTTAGCAGCAGGGATTCTAGAAATGCTCAAAATAGTACTCTATACCAGAATAAATACTTTTAAATTAATATAGATGATTTCTTAGGAAAGTATTGAGTTGATTTCCAGTACAAACCTTGGAAAGAATGTAGTATACTTAATCTGTCATGCTTACTTGAGCAAGATCCTAATTATAGTAAGTTGGAAATACTTCCATTTGACTTTCTTTTAGAGTTACAGGGAAGTCTCATAGTAAATATTTGGGTGAAAAGATTGTAGGAATCCAAAAGTAGGAAAGTATTAATGACAAGAAAGCTCTGGTGAATGTGTAACATTGGGGTAAGCATGTAACACTGGTTTTGCAGACCCTGCATTGGTTGTTAATGGGTTTCCGGGTCCAATCTAAGGTGCTGATTCTGATCTATGAGCCCTTCATGGTTGGGCACCTTCAGGATTATCTTCTCCAGCCATCTTTGGCCCAATCAGTCAGACCTAGCAGGGGAAACTACTGCAAGTCCCATACTTTTGGAAATTTGGGGGGCTGTTGCGGTGCTGACGTTGTGGAATAGCCTCACTGTGGAGATCAGGTTGGCTCTTTGAAAAGTTTTTAAACACCAAGCTATTTGGGAGATCATTCCCCTGATCTGATCTGATTTGAAGTTGCCATCTTTTCATTTTGCTTGTATTCTTGCAGTGTTGTTGGGTTTTTATTTTTGTTTAGGACTTGTTTTATTATTTTTTTTCCTATGTGAACTGCCAGGATCGTTTCAATTACAGTGGCATAGAAATATGTTAAATAAATGAATGAATAAATATCTGGTTTTCTGGTTATTTTTGATAGTACACAATTTTGGCCAGAACGTTTATCTTTCTGCTTTCATTTGAAATAAATATACAGTATACACTTAACACAGATTCCATACAATTGCTTTCTCAAGAAAGAACAGTAAGCTTTGGAGCAACCACCCACTTTATGAACAAACTAAAACATTATTTAGTTTTGCTATAGAGCGGGCCATATTAGTAAGCTGTTCAAATACTGGGTTATTTTTTTCCTGTGTCTGATTGCTTTGCATTGGATAAAGCCAGCTAACTTATTTATTGTACTACATACAGTAACCACAATTTGTGAAATGCAGAGTAGTGAGTCTTCGGTTCAAGCCCAAGGTTCTCTTATTTCTTTGTTGTATGGGAGTTATTTATACTGTCTTTTTACCAGTAAAGTACTGTACAACTTAATTCGCCTCAAGAATAGAATAGTGCGACCATTTTAACAAAGCAGAAATGTTGGATTTGCCAGTCTTGAAAACATCTGATTTTTTAAAAGTGTAGTTTAAAAAGTAATACTGTTTTATATTAATGAATGCTGATAGGAAAAATTATGACAGTATTGAATGGAATAATTTTCTCATTAAAATGAACTTTTTGCAACTTTGCACCACTTGCATTTGTGCAGATTCCTGCACAAGACAATCCTGAAAAATATTAGCAAATTTATTTAGTCAGAAGAATACCATCCATACTTTGGAGAGGAGGTAACAAAAAATATGAGAAAAACTGAAGGTGCACAAAATTGTAGAAGAATTGCTAGAAAAAGCAACCCATTTGAAGAAGAAGGAATAGCTAAAGAGTACTAAAATTCCTATATTTTATTACAGGTCTCACTGCTTTTCTTCTAATACACCCTTTTAGCTCACATTGATCATATGAATTATTTTTAAGACTCAAGATTTAGATAACCACTTCCTCTTCGTCTAAAGACATGTCCAGCAGGGCCGTAGCAGATACCTATTAAGGAATAACTCCAGTTGAAGGAAAATTCTGAGTAAAGTGTGCATATTATGGGGCTGTACCTTTTGTTTTTAAGTGTTTAGTTGGAACTGGTGGTTAAAAGATCCTTTTAATATTAGAATAGGCAGCATTGGACACAGGGAATATACTTTACATCATTGTTTTAAAACCAAATAAAAATACATAGCAGTCAGTGTCAAATTGGTGAGTCACTTGGCAAGTGGGTCACCATATAGATTCAACTGATTGTACCTGCAACTCCTGTTCTAATACAAAGGCCCAGCTGATGCAAAGTCATTGTTTTGATGCAACAGAAGGAGGTTTTACACAACTGGGTTGTAACTCTCAAGGAAGCCTTATTCAAAAATACAGTGGTGTGGAGTGAAAGAAGATCTTTAGTAGATCTCAAGTTAAAAGCAAGGTCACAAGTAGTGATCCATTAGGTAACCAAGTCCAAAACTATTTACTACACTATATACCAAAATAGCATTTTGAATTGATTTCACTTTGGGGAAGCTTAAGAACTGGGGTTTCCTAGTGATTGCCTGGAATCTACGTATGTCTTCACATTTTGCTTAACTAAAACTGAAGTGGATCAAATCAGCATAACTAGTGGTGAGGAATACTGGAGGTTCATCAATATTTGAGCTGCTACAACTTCATCCCTGCCAAAGCGAACAGCATGGCTACATTTTGCACAAGCTTCAACTGATGCTGGAGTGATTTAACCAG